GGGGGGATGAGGTAGCTAGTCACTGATTACGCGTACTGACTACTTGTCCAAGCGCGCAAAGGCTTGTAATTTGAATCAGCCTCGGGGGTCGTCAGGGTGGTGGTGTTGGGTGGAGCGGGGGTCGTATAAGAAGAGGGGGGACAGCCCGACCGGCCCGTCCCGTGGTTAACTTTGTCGAGGAGTCCCAAACAAAGCGTACCCCCATCCCCCACCGCCACCCCCTCGGCCCGGGAACCAGGAACAGCGCCAATGAAGGACAGCATGAAGGCGGGGGCATATATAGCTACACGAGCACAAACAACTTGTTCGCAGAAATCCTCTTACACGGAACGTGAACTAATAAAATCCCGAAAAACCCAACGGCATCCAACCGGAAATTTAGTGAACTGGTGCTTCCTTTTGAGTGATTTGTACGCGTTGCGGAACGATTTGGCTGCTATGTAAACCTAAGAAGGAATTTGTCCGCAACTGTGCGGAGGATTTTCTCGGTATTTTAAATCGGCAACTTGAAATAAACTAAAATGTTTTTATTTTTCGTTGACCCCCTTTAAAGGCCTCTCACTAAAAAAACGAGTGAGTACTGAGCCAGCAAAGCAGGCAAAGCTTTACATTTGACGGAATAATGTGCCAAAGATTTCCCTCTTGACATTTCCTGGCGAGCAATGTAAACGAACGTAGAGTTTAAGACCATTCCAAACTCTGGAGAGAGCGAGAGAGCATGAGAGAGACAGAGAGTGAGAGAGAGAGAGAGAGCGACAGAAAGGAAAAAAGGAGGTGATTTGTAATCCTAGTCAGATGTGCAGGGGGCGGCTCAGGGGCCGTGGAGGGGGGAAGCTTAGGGAGAAATGACACTGTTGAAAATGAAATAATGACAGTAGTAAAAGGAGCCACGGAAGGCCGGCCAGCTGCCTTGGGGAAGTCTGGAAGTGATGGGGACTTCCCTCAGCCTGGCCACCACCGGTTCTTTTCTGCCGCATCACGCTGCGAGGTGTTGGATTACCCAACAACAGGTGTTGTGTTCCCACGCGGGCCGCGCTGCCCCGCCCCGCCCCGCCACGCCACGCGTTCTACAGGGGTGCTTAGCGAACACTATTCATTTCACGGTCGGGCCTTCGCGCACCCTCCTCAGAGCTGTTCGCGCCCCGCCCCGCCCCGCCCCGCCTTGCC